TCCATCGTGTCCTTTGTCTCTCGGCTGTCCTCCGAGCGCTCAAACTCCGTCCGCCTCCTCGTCTCCCTCCTCCTCCTCCTCGTGCCTGCTTCTGGCTGATTAGTTTGTTCTTGGTGAGACTCCCAGGATTGTAAATCAGCCTCATCCTCTGGAGGAGCTTCGGAGACAGAAGGTTATCTGTCGGCGTGCTGCACAAACATCCAGCTCGTCCACCTTCACACAAGGACACGCCACCAAACGTTTCGCTGAAAGCTGCGCCAGGCGAGCTGCCAGCGGAGCGCTCGGTCGCCACCTGAAGCTGTCAGTCAGACGTGATGCTCGGCCGAACATTTGGTGACGGCGGCACATTTCCACACCTCCTTGTCTCCTGACAAGTGTGGGCTTGTTTCATAAATAATTGATCCTGGCACTTTGTGTGTGGACCGTCCAGGACTGATTCTCAGCTCTGTGTGGGACTGGAGCTCAGAGCTGTTTTCTTTTTTCTTTAGACCATCACAGCTTCTAACTTTGCAGCAAACAGGAACTCATGGATGTGATGCTGTCGTTGGGGTTCGTCTAACCTGCACATTTGGGTCAATCCAGGAAGAATCAACCAGCGTTAAAGGAATCCTGTAAAGAAAACAGCTTTACCACAGCGTGAACCGTGTCTGCTAGATGCTCCTGGTATCCTCTGTAGGCAAAAATGATGCTTTCATTGTCTAGAACTTTCTCAGAACGACAGAAGATGATCAAAACTCTACGACACTGATCAAAACATTGACCGAAATGGCTCGAAATTTCTCAAAAATCACCGAAAAAATGGTCAAAAATGATTCAGATGTCAAGAATAATTCAAGATTTGTTCGGAAATGATGAACAAATGGCACCAAAATGTCCCACAACTACAGAAAATTTGTCCAAAAACCCTCCAAAAAAAAAGTTCCTAATGACTCACGAATTGTCCAGAATGGATTTAAATGAATCCCAAAGGACGCAAACTTTGTTCAGAACAACATGGAAGCTGCACAAAATGGTTAAAAACATCACAGTGATCCAACACGTGGCTCCTCTGTTCTCTGGTTCTGATCCACGCTGCGTTTATTCATCGACCCAGCGGGTTTTACTCTCCTCTGGGTCTCTCTGAGGAAACACTGGCTGCAGTTCCATTCACTTGATTTAGTTTTGGTTTTAACGGGACTTGGAGGTTTTTTTGCTGAATAATTTTAACTCGTGATGCGTTCACAGACCGCTGGAAAATTGAAAATCTGACAATTCTTTTTGTTTTGAACAGTTTCTAATTGATTTTTTTTTTAAAGATAACTCGCCTCTCCGGTCCTTTGGCGGGTTTCAGGGTTCAGAGAGTTAAAAATGATCAGCTTTAACTCTCCTCACAGCCCAAACCCGGCAGGTTGTAGCGTTAGCGGTGTAGCTTCAGGCCAGACGAGCCCACTCCTCTCCACAGACGAGATGTTCTTCAGGGGTTCCAGGGCGACGCAGTCAGAGCTCAGGTCAGCCGGCGGTCACAGGCCGACAGGTATTCATTATTATCTAACAACACAAACTTATTGACGATCACACGCGTGTACAGAACCGATAACTGATCAATTCAGGTTCCTGAGGACCGACGTGTGACCCCCCAGAGAGGTCAGAAGGTCAGAGGAAACCAGCGTCGCCGTTAGTGTGAAGCCTCAAGTTTCCGTTAACGGACCACAAAGACACGTCACAGGCAGGCTCTGGTTGCTGCTTTGCTATTTGGGACCTAAAAAAAATCTAAGTTCTCTGAAATATTTTGGCTAAATTGTGAGAACTTCAGGATTTTTTGTTATTTTCAGATTAAGTTGAATAAAACTCCAACAGCCATGAGGTGTGCCGAGGAGTTTCCAGCAGATCAGAACGACAGCAGAAGACGCGTTTTTAATTACTGGTAACTGAAAATGAGAGTTCCTGTCAGTGTGTTTGGATCCATATTTCTGTGGTCGGCATTTTGAGGCTCTAACATCTGACGCGAGGCAACTTTGACCAGCTTAGCACAACAGACGACTCGACTGTGAAGTAAGTCTGAGACGAGCAGCAACATATTCCCTGAGTTCTGGTGGATCTGACACCAGCTGACCCGCTGTCTGTTCAGCCAAGGCGCTGCTGTGGAGCCCGTTTGTCTGGTACTGCTGAGACTCGGTTTGTTTTCTCAGCGCCGTCGACCTGAGCGCGCGCAGCCGGAGGATTTAACGACATCGATGAGCCGACAGGAGGACGCAGGAGGAGCTGGAAGTCAAACCAAGGTGGCGCCTCCTCCTCCTCCTCCTCCTCCTCCTCGAGGCCCTCGTCTCTGCTCCTCCTCTCTCCTCTTTCTATTTTCTCTGCCTCCTCTGATCCTCCTCCGTCCTCCATCAGCTCCAGCTTCCTGTTGCCATGGCAGCAGTATGCTAATGAGGGAGTCGCTCTCCTCCGTCAGCCCGGCTTCTTTCCGCTATTCAGACGAAAACCGCTGACAAACGGCGCGCGGACCAACCGGAGAGCCGGGTCGGGTCACGGAAAAGCGGGACGGGTTTGTGTAACGAAGTGAGCAGCGATGAATCAGCCCTAATTGCATAACGGCGCCGGGAGAGCGGGGCGGTGGGCGGCTGTTTCATCACCGGCGGTCAGCGGGTGTCAGCCAGCAGCAGGAGAAAAAAACAACAGAACCAGGGATCCATCTGCGTGGTGACGGGAGGGAGAGTGGGCGGCGAGTCGGGTCGGAGCATCTGGGCGACACCGCTGACGCCGGCTTCCTGTCTGAAGGGTCGGACT